GTAGTTTGGTTTGTGGGGAAGGATTGATTGTACAAGGAATGGATTGATTGGTGAGAAAATGTGGAGGGCCTATAAATAGTGTTGTTTGAGCACTTATTAATTAGGGACAATTTCAAAGAATGCAATTTTTGGTCTTTGGTGAGAACGTGGGGGGATAGCTTTTTATTATTATTTTTGTTTGGCTTGAATTCCTGCAATGTGGATAATGTTGACGTTTTGACTTTTGAGTAGGGATTCAACATTTTCAAATGTTGGGCAGAATTACAGGCGCAATCATCGATCCGAATATGTATAGATATTTACGAGCTATTATAAGACTAAGGGAGAATTTCGAACCGTTTTTAAAACCGCACAGAAATTACGCCGAATAAAAAAAATAACCATTTACCGTTTGACTTTATGCGTACCGAACAGAAACTAATCGTTGGTTGTTTGACTTTCCCAAAACTGAACCAAAAAAAATAATTGATATGGTTGTGGAAATATTATAAATATCCGTACCGAGAACTTAATCGAACGGAAGAATTGAATTATAAAAATAGATGTGTGATGTTAATATATTTTATTTCAACTTTGATCCTATATAATCTAAAATTTTTTAAAATGGAAATAAAATATAGTAATAAAATTAAGTTTTACTTAAATTTCATGCTTAATAATACTTGGTCCACAATTGAATTTTCTTGAATTAAAAAAAATACATTTAAAATGGTATGAAAGGTTAAAGAAATATTTATTCTTAAAAATACTTAAACATTACTTAAATTTGTCGATACTAGTCTTATTCTATCTTATAACTAACTGTAGTGGGCAGTAGTATTTTTGTATTTTTATTATTTGTGTAATATTAATTTCTGCAATTGTTATGGAATATGTGGAGAAGAAGATGAAAAACGTGAGGGAGAAGTAAGAGAGAGAGAGAAAGTAGGAGAGAGAAAGTTGTTAAAATAATGACATCATAACATTCCATTCCTCATCATCCATACTTAAATACATGTGTTAATGGATAAAAGACTTAAACCCAAATTGGCAACAATCAGCAAATTGGCCCAAAATCAGAAATTAGGTAAATTTCAGAAAAAAAAAAGAAACAATCAGCAACCTCCTACAATTACAATGAACTAATTTCAGAGAAAAAAAAAAACAAGATTCAGAAATTAGGGGGTTCACCAAATTGGCCCAAAATCAGAAATTAGGTTAACCCTAATTAATCACTTACCCGCGACTTTGAGCAACAAATGTATCGCCTTCCTGGATTATGAACAGTCCACGATGTTTTTGTAACAACATTGATGCCACAATTGCAGAATTGAGCCATCGTCTCCAAGCTAGGTCTCCAAGAAAATTCGCGGGAGTCTTATGTTCATTTTAAGAAGAAAAATTTGTTCAGTGATGGAAAGACACATTTATCCTGCAAACATCAGAGATAAAGTCGATTTTATTCTCGAGTTTGTAGTGTGCGAGTCGCACGCTCGTTTTTTCGGTGAAATATGGAGTCCGATGGCAGTTAGGTTGCGATACAGCCGATACGTGTATTACAGGTTGCAATTTAAAAAAAAAAACTTTAGGTTGCAATCACAAAAAACGCGATTAGTACAGGTTGCAAATAATTATTTACCCATATTTTTATCTAAATTTCAAGCTTTATTCACTATTTTCGTTCAAACATGCGATAGGAGAGTAGGTACCTTGCTTAGGCCCTTCTACTTCGAGTTTGTTTTGTCGAATTGTGTGTCTATGCTTGGTTCTAGTTTTTGTTTTATTTTCATTGCTTTCTTTCATGTGTTAGGATTCGATATGTGCTTATCTATTCATTGCTTAGTGTAGAAAGCTCGTGTTAGAATACCTAGGATCACTATGCTCGCATGTTTTCTTTTGTTTATTTTTTTTTTCTTGAGTCATGGAGATTTCAGTAGACTAAAGTTTTGATCTTTCTCTCTCTATTGCATTTTGCATCATTTGCTTTCATGTGCTTAGCGTAATTTCGTGCAATCAATCCCTCCAAGTGAGTAGAATGTGTGGGACCTTGTTTTTTATTATGTGACTTTGACGACTAGGTAGTGAACGAAGCTCCGAACAACCTTCCTTTGAGAACGACCTGAGTCGAGTCGCTCGGTTGCCACATGCTCAAAAATACTGCAAACAAATAGCTGACAATTTTTCTCAATAATTTTGCTTAAAAAAAAACAATTAGCCAGTTAAATAGCATATATTTTGCCAAAACACACAGGTTATTAAGCAATTCTTTATAATTTTATGTTGTTAGTTAATGGTTGTTTTAGTCTAAATTTGCATTTTCAGGCCTGTTATACTCTATTTTTATTAGACAATGGAAATTTTCTGCAATTACAAAAAAGTTTTTCTAGCAATATTGTCATTTATTGGACAAACAATTTTACACAAACAATATTAATCTAGAAGATCAAAGTTTGTATACCAATTTTTCTCATGTACTCTTTTTTATTTCAATATTAAATTTATATGAAGACTACATTTTAAATTTCGATATTTTGACCTAATTCGTTATTTATTAATGGTCTTGTTTTGTTTTATTAATAAATATAATAATGCAAAAAACGAATAAACTATTAGAAAGTAAAACCTAATTTTAAATCATAAAAAAATTAAAAATTATGTATTGCGTGCATCGTCGTAATACATAATTTAAAGCTGTAGTAACTACCGTGGAATTAAGTTGATGAGCCATACAATGAAACTCTGGGAGAAGGTTATCGAGCATCGCCTACGACGAGTGACGAGTGTGACCCAAAACCAATTTGGGTTTATGCCTGGACGGTCGACCATGGAAGCGATTTTCTTAATACGACAGTTGATGGAGAGATATAGTGACCAAAAGAAGGACTTGCACATGGTCTTTATCGACCTTGAGAAGGCTTATGACAGAGTATCGAGGAATGTCATGTGGTGGGCCTTAGAAAAGCACAAAGTCCCATCTAAGTACATTACCCTCATCAAGGATATGTACAAGGATGCGATGACGTGTGTCCGAACATGTGGGGGCGATACCAGCGACTTCCCAATTAAAATAGGACTACATTAGGGGTCAGCATTGAGCCTTTATTTATTTTCCTTGGTGATGGATGAGGCCACAAGGGACATACAAGGTGATATCCCTTGCTGTATGCTCTTTGCTGATGATGTGGTGCTAGTTGACGAGAGTAGGGCAGGGGTAAATAGGAAGTTAGAGCTGTGGAATG